GAGGGGTAGGCAGAGACTACAGACTTCCATTTGGCACGATCCTGACACCTCTCTCGCCTCCTTCACATCCATACACCTACGCATACATGCTCGTCGGTTAAGGGTAATCCTGGTCACAACATCATCTTGCAAACTACACTCTTCTCTTATCACACAATTTTTCACCCTGTCATTCAGATTCAGCCCTAACATACTCCTTAACGACCGCATTTCTACTGCGTTAATTCTACTCTCGTGCTTCTTCTGCCACATCCAACTTTCACTACCATACGTTCAAGTAGAGACCAACACAGCATTGTGAATTGCCATACGTGCCTTTTTCGACACATTTTGACTTTCACAATAGAGTGTAGGGCCACATTTATTCTATTTCCTGCATTCACTCGTCGTTCTATATCCTTATCACATCTCCCATCCCTGCTAAATACGCAACCCAGATATACAAACTCATCTACTTGCTCGATCAACTCCCCTTCTATTCTTATTTCACATATCGTCTTACTTTCTTCTCTTTCAAAAACCATAACTTTCGTCTTACTTGCGTTCACTTTCACACCCATTTCTTTTAATGATCTGTTCACTAATGTAACCATCATTTGCAGCTCGGCCGTCGACGACGCAAGAATAACTTGATCATCGGCGTACAAAAGGCATTTGACGGTTAACTCACCCATTCTTAATCCGCATTCTTCAACTTTCAAATTTTGCAAACAACTGTCCATAAATAGGTTGAACAACCACGGGGAAGCCACACAGCCCTGTCTGACACCTTTATGGATACCAAACCAGTAGACCCCAGACCGAGTAGACCCCATTGATCCTAACACAAGCACTAGAGTCCCTATAAAGCGACTCCAATGCCTGTATCAAGCCAGCGTTCAACCCAAATGAATTCGCACATTAGCACATCCCTATCCACTCTGTCATAGGCCTTTTCCAAGTCTATGAACGCACAAAAAACCGTTTGGTTTTTGGCCAAAAACTTTTTCCGCGATCATGCGCATGGAAAAGACTTAATCTGTACATCCCATTCCCTTTCTAAATCCCGCTTGCACATCCCAAATTTTTTCATCAGTTTCTTTCATGACCCTTTCAATCAGTAACTTAGCATACAGTTTTCCCATGCTAAGAAGGCTGATACCACAGTAGTTTTTACAGTCCTGCTGCGACCCTTTTCCTTTATATACTGGGACTATCACGGCTTTGCACCAGTCTACCGGTACCCGCTTCAGTTCCCAGCATAAATTAAACAAAGTGTGCAGCAGGCCTGCCACAACTTCCTCTCCAGCCCTTAGCATTTCGAGTGAAACTCTATCATGTCCGGCAGCCTTACCTGCTTTCATGCTTTTCATTGCTTTCTTATTTCATCTATACTTATCTCGCTACCTCTTTCCTCTTCTTTCGGAGTTTCTACAATGATGAAGTTTTGAGTTTAAAGAGATGGAAGGAATATTTTGAAAGTCTTTTTATGAGTGAGGAGACAACGTATAAAATAAATGAAGTAGAAACTCCGAAAGAAGAGGAAAGAGATAGCGAGATAAGTATAGATGAAATAATGAAAGCAAAAAATTTGAGTTTGTAAAAAAGTAAACTTCAGAAACTAAAAAGAATAATATAATGTCTACATACAATAGCTTCTGAAGTCGGGATCTAATTCTTCGATACACTATGACTAAGTATATTATATACTAGCTGTGCCCCGCGGTTACACCCGCGTATATCACGCAACCTTGCCGCGTGATATGACATGACACCTCGCTCATTTAGTTCAATCATTTTAGCTAAAAAATTGGCAAAATTAATGGACTACTTATCGGCATATTATGTATTATGTACGTTATACAGCAAGGTAAAATTTTAACCACTCTCTCCACCCCTCCCAGGTGAGCGTCACACCCCCCCTCCCCGCACCTCAGAAAGTGCCCCGAACACGGTTTTTTCCAGTTTTAGAGAGAACTGTACACGGTACATGAAAAGTGTGGAGGTACGAAAAGATCCCTGATAAATTTTCTATCAACGTTTTATACATAGGTATAAAAGCGATATCATTTGTAGTTTTCGCGCAATCTGCGACGAAATATGAACATTTATTGTCATTTATCGATTTTTTTGTGCTCTATTTTAATTTTATTAAAATTTCAAACTTTACCGCCAAAATATGTTTGAGTAAAGTAAAGAATAGAAAATTATGCTCTTTAAAAGGAGGTAATAAAACTATTTATTTGAATAATAATGAATAGTAAAATCGGCCCAGCAGTTGCGGAGCTTATTCGGTACAAATAAACAACCAAAAAATCTTTCCTCTTTATAATAATATTGAATATATATATATATATATATATATATATATATATATATATATATATATAATATTAACACCTATAGTAAGACCTAGTGAGTTGGAAAGTTGGTCGTGGCATCAGGAAATTCATCACCCAGTTTCGTTCCGAGGGTGTCGTGAAGTGACTATAACAAATACCAGTAGTTACGACCTTATAACATTTGATAGATGTTGGTCTCACATCTTGCGTCGGTGATGGATAACATTTGGTATAGATGTGAAATATAATGGATATTTCACATGCGGCGACAGAGATTTTTTTTGAGATTTCAAGGGCGCGAGCAGTCGCAGTTGGTCGCAGTACTGCGGTGACAACGGAGACAAACGTGGCGTTACTAGGGCGACACTGAAAGTTTTTAGAACTGGCCACTTGTAAACGATATAATAAAAAATAAGGTCAAATTTTGAAAATAGAACTCTTTGCCAATATTATTGAGTGTATTTTATTAATCTGTCATTTGTTTACGATTTGGCGGCAAATTGAAAATTGTCTGTGTCATGTCAGCATGATTTGAACGCGAGAAAATTTTCATACAATGATTTTTTATGACTTTCGATGTAATTTAAATCAACTAGAAAGTTATGATAGACTTCGGTTGGCCTTTCACGAAGAATACCCATCTCGTGCCACTGTTTGCAACTGGTTTAATGAGTTTAAACGTGGTCGCACTAATCTCATCGGTGATCTGCGTGAGGGACGGCCTTCTACGGCAACGACTGAAAATAACATCAGTGTTGTGCGGCGTACGATAGAGACTGACAAAAGAGTGACCTATCAGCTGATTCGGACAAGCTTAGGCATCGGTATGAGTCAAGTGCACAAAAGCCTCCGTGAACATTTAGCGGTCAGGAAGCTTTGTGCCCGGTTTGACAAAGGCCCAAAACCACCGTCGTGTTGATTGGTGCCGTAAAAAGGTTCAATGATTTAACGGAGGTGACTCAAATGCTGTGATCACCATACTTACGGGTGACGAAAACTGGATTTATTGTTATGTATATATCCTGAAACAATGAGACAGTCTGCTGTCTGGGTGTTTCCTTCCGAGGAGTTGCCGACTAAAGTCTAGACAAACATTCGACTACTTGGCGACGTCAGATGTGGAATTGCTGGGTCACTCGCCTTATAGCCCAGAGAAAAAAACTTCGAGGAAAACAAAAATTTTATGGACGTTGAGGACGCAGTGGCTGCATTTCAAAATGCCGTCGAAGAGACAGACAAGACGGGGCAAAATGCTTTTCTCGGTGGTACCATCAGATGCAGCGATGTACTCGTATTAATGTAAATGGACACTATTTTGAAAAGATATAATAAAACTAATAACTTGCTAGTTTGTTCAGTCTTTTTGGTTTTCTAAGAACTTTCAGTGTCACCCTCGTATCGTGGTCACGAGTGAGAAGCGGCGATATGCTCCTGTTTGGCCGGCCCGCGCGTAATTTTATTCCACGATATTTATCTGATATTTCTTTATAAAATGATATACTTATACTCTTTTCCCATAATTCCTCCATGTATTTACTAGTGAACACATAAATAAAATTTGATTGAAATTACTTTAATTGCATTTTTTTTATTAATGAACGTACCAAAGATGTTTTATATCTTTGGGATGTACTTACCGAAAATTGTAGATTTTGAGGAAATTTTGCGATCTTTTTGTATCGCGCCAAAATGGTTCAATCGTATTTTGGCCATCATAACTCACTAAGGAAAATCTTTAACATTTATAATGATTTATGACGAAAATTGATTTTATGCGCACCTATAAAGCGTGAAAAATTTGCTTTTAGCGCCAATTTCACCTTAACCCAATCTTGTACGATTAGGCTTATAGTAGACGAAATGGTTTTCAGATAGATAGATATATAATTATTAATTAACAATATGTTTCTAAAATAAACATATTGTTAATTAATAATTATATAAACACTGATCAGTTGGAATGATCAGTTGAACTGACCGTGTGTGGCCACCATCAGACGTGGTAAAGCCACGCTGCAGCTATATTATGGTTGTAGCATGAATGGGTCGGCTCGACCGGAGAAGGACCACGCTCTCACAGAATACCAGCGTAAAAGAGCAGCTTTATGCTGCAGTGTTTCATATGGTGAGTCTAGAGAACCGGAGATCCGTTTTACTGCATTCGAGGCGTTCCATCTTAGTCCTCAGGGGTGACAACGCATCTACATTTTGATTTTTAATCGAGTTTTTTTTATTTTTTATTATTTTTTTTTATAGAATAAGGGTGACAAACGAGCACACAGTCCACCTGATGGTAAGTGGTTGCTGTGGCCCATAGACATCTACATCTATCCTCGATTACGAATCAAAATGCAGATGCGTTGTCACCCGTGAGGACTAAGATGGAATGCCTCGTTTCCAGTAAAAAGGGTCTCCGGTTCTCTGCACTCACCATACGAAATACAGCGGCATCAAGCTACTATTTCACGCTGGTATTCTGTGAGAGCGTTGTCCTTCCCCGGTCGAGCCGACCCATTCGTGCTACAACTATACTACTAATATAACTGCAGCATGGCTCTACCACGTAAGATTATATGTATATGGACCACAGCGTCCACTTACCATCAGGTGGGTGCTCGTTTGTCACCCTTAAAAATCTGAATCAAACCGCAATGTTTTTACATTGACCGCAGCGGAGCTATGTTGGAGCCGCACCGTCGCGTTGCGTCGCCGAGATATTATGCGTTGAATGGTAAGGCGGCGATCACAACTCAGTATAGAACTAGAATATACTATACAGCATAAATATAGAAGTACCTAACTGTTACCGTTATAATCTATTAAAGTCTAATACGTTATACTATATCATTAGTACCCATACATCGTATTTCATATCATGCTGCAGCTATGTGAGTGGTTTAGTTGTAGCACGAATTGGTCGGCTCGACCAGGGATGGATTACGCTCTCACAGAATACTAGCATAAAATAAAACTTAGCGTTACTGCTGTGTTTCGTATGGTTAGTGTAGAGAACCGGAGAACCTTTTTACTGGAAACAAGGCATTCCATCTTAGTCCTTACGGGTCGATTCGTTCGCAGTCGAGTATAGTTGTAGATGTCTATGGGCCACAACATCCACTTACCATCAGGTGGACTGTGTGCTCGTTTGTCACCCTTATTCTATAAAACAATAAGACACTACTGTCCATCTCGTAATCAGTTTCCTTCTGTTGCCTGTTACGACACTCACAGGATGATATGGGCTAGAGGATATCGTGACACCGAAACTACACATTTGTTAAACACGATCAAAAATGATTTATCCTCAAGAATATAATCTAATTAGAATTAATATCAAATTAATTCTTAGATTGTATTAGGTGTCTTATTGTGATATGGTGATGTAGCGGCGAACGCGGACTCGGTGCGGTACTAACGCGGATGTGGTGCCAACGCGGTACCCTCTCGGTGCCATACGTAAGACAGAGAAACCTGTAGACAAATTGACGCCTTCTTTCGCATTCGCACACGCAAAAGATAGATTTATGCGTACGCCTTGCGTAGAAATGAAACCGAGCGGTGTGATTGTTTGTCCCTTTCTCCGTGCCGGTTTTTTTGTTTAGCAAACTAGACTTTGCTTCGTAGCGACCTAAGGAGTTTACAAGTTGGTTTATGTGAGAAAAAAGTGTTTTGTGAGCTTAAGATTGGTGAATCTTGTTCAGTTCTTAGAACAATTAAAATTTTTATCTAAATATGTTTAAAAGTCATAAAGATTATTGTATAACCTATAACTACGTTATCGTCCTTTCTCACTCGAGGTCACGCTAATCATTAGTCTATAGGTTTCTCTGTCTACGGTGCCATACATGATTATAGCTTGTATCTATATACTAACTTGCGTTGCGGTTCCGGTATGACTCCATGCCACTGCTCCATGTACAGGAAGCATAATAGTATTTTTTTTTATTATTTAACATCTCTCTACTGTTATTTTTCTAAAAGTAAATTTTATTTTTAAATTTTAAATTTATTACCATTTATTAAATGGTAAACTTTAATGAAATTATAAGTTTCTTACGACCAAGAATAAAACTAGTCTGACGACTCGATTTCTTTTCATGAACTCTTTCAAAATAAACACACAACTTATAAATAAGCTTGTCTTCCGGTAGTGAAACAAATTGATTTCTGGATGTGGTAAACAATAGTGTCTATCAGTATGTACGTAAGTTATTTAACTTAATACAAAACGTTTTGAAATGCATAGAGTTATCATCCGGCCTTATAAAATTCCCAGACTGCAGACGGGCTGTAACGTCCAGGGTGGTACTGCACAATCTGTCTGGTAGTGCAATATCAATGAGCCTGCAAAGCGTGCCGATTAATGCAAATTCTCTCTGCAACGGAAAAGCCTGTGTGAAACATTGCAGTTAAGGGCCGATGAAAAAAGCACCCTGACCGTAAATAACTTGACAACAATCAAATCGTCGGAAGTATAAAATGAGCTCAAATATAATTGCTTAAAAATTTGTTTTATTCAACGTGACGCGTGATTAGCGTAAAAATAAAAAATACAGGATTTTATTTATAGGGGCTGGCTACCAATTCGAGAGGAAGCAAGAGAAGGGGAGGAGACTAGAGAATCAAGTGAACGTCTTAAAGAAATTCCTCCGTCTACTGTTTGGACACCGCCACCTCCGCCACCTACAAAATAGACAAGACGGTCTAAGCAATGGAAGGTAGTTCTTATTCAATTCGTGGCTAAGGAACCTGTTACATTTTTAATCTCTTACTGGCTATCAATAATAGTTATGAAAGTACGTAAGAGGAATCACTGTGTCAGACAGAATCATTATATTTATTGACATTGCAATGGGAAAATGTGGACATAATGAGCTTTCTTAGACATGTTTAATATATTTGAAGGTTAAATTTTAAATGATGGGAGAAAAATAGTCTATTTGTGAGTGTGTCACCGTTTCTTCTCACAAGGTCTTCACGAAGTCACGATGGCGTAGCTTTGGACTATCAAAAAGTATTTTCTAAAAGCCAATTTTGAATAAAACGGACGATATACGTAATATTCTGTTCGACGAAAACATAGGTATAACACTGAATACAATTACTAAAATCTAATAGAATATACTTATCATATAATTTGTGTATTATAACAATTATCTTAGGCTTCTTCTATATCAATTATTTACTAAAGTAAATGTTTTATAATTCCAAATTAACTGCTATAGGAAATACAGCCGTCTATTATGAACACATTAGCGTAAATATTGCCTATTGTTATTTCTGTAAAAAGTGAAGTAAAGTTACAGCTCATATACTTCCTACTGCTGGGAACAGGCCTCTTCTCATTTCTGAGAGGGTTTTAGGAAATATGCAAATGAAAATAACAATTAACAATTTCACTGATGCAGGCGTGGATCGAACCCAGGTTACTGCGAAATTTACAGCGAGCGCTAAGCGCCTGACTTACCGCGGCTCTCTTTCCCAAGTAGCACATAAGCAATATAAGCAGACACTGTATCACTCTCTTGTTGTATAACAGCTGTTTAAGGAAGCTTGTATCTTTCTTAACCTATATACTATAACAGATTTTTACATCTCTTTAAAGGCAGAGTGATAAAGTAGCCGTTTAGTAGTGACCATAACATCTTTGGTGATAAAAAAGGAGTTTGTAGAGTTTTTATACGGCCATTGGATATAAAGACGTGTTATAATAATATACTTATTAACACTATGAGACCTAAAAGAGGAATAACGAAGATAAAGGCGTTTTAATTGAGTTATAATTATATGGCATATAGTATTCAAGATAACTAAGTAGTACTATGTAGTATACAACTTTACAATAAATCTTTAATAATCTTAAAATCACTTTTACCATATTGGAGAATCACAGTTCGACGGAAGTACCAAAAGCGATATATTTGTGAAAATTGTCGTGTAAATATAGCCATTGTCTGCATTAGGCATGTCAAAGATATTTTATACGTGAGTAAAGAACCGGATACCCTTTTTACTGGAAACGAGGCATTCCATCTTAGTCCTCACGGGTAACAACGCATCTGCATTTTGATTCGTAATCGAGGATAGATGTAGATGTTTATGGGTTATAGCAACCACTTACCATCAGGGAGACTGTGTGCTCGTTTGTCACCCTTATCCTATAAAAAAAGGTTGTCTGGAACAAATTGCTTCCAAAACGATAAGACTGCTTATTGTAACTTCTTTATTTATTTCATTTTGTTGTAGTGTAAACTTTTTTAGACACGTCGAACACTTTTGGGATGGAAAAAGCACTGAACTCGCGTGAATGACCGTCATGCTCAGATACAAATATATTTGAGCGTGACGGTCACTCACTAATTTATAATATTACATACACATCTGTGTATATTTTATAATTTACAAAAACGCAAAAATTATCTCAAGCAGGTCTGTTTGTATTAAACTACTCTTGTATGTTTTATGTGAAAGTTGTAAGACTCTTCTGACCACTATAGAATTAATATAAATGTTTGCGTACATCGGAACAGAAAAAAATAATTTTTAAAAGCTAGGGCAACTATGACATAAGAAAATCCCAATGGCCGTGAGAAAGAGCAACATCGAGAGTAAAAAAACTGGCCAAGTGCGAGTCGGACTCGCGCATGAAGGGTTCCACACCATCGTACAAAATTTAATAATATGTAGGTAGAATATAGCAATACAAACTCTGTGAAAATTTCAGGCGACTTGTTACCATTATTAGGATCAAGCAAAAGTAAAAAAAAAAACAGGTTTCTACGAGTGTAGAAACCTGTAGAAAATTGTAGAATCGACTTACCCCTTCAAAATGTAAGTGTATTTTTTTCAAAAATGGCTTGAATAATGTAAATAAAACATTATAACTAATTGATACCATTATTTAAAAAATCTACCCAGTACTTTTTAAATTTATTAGGTTTGAATGGAAACGCACCAAAAATGAAGTTAATTAAAGTCAATATTGGGCTGAACAAAATAAATATAAAACAGAAAATGTATCTTTAGTACTCAACATTTATGATCTTAATACTTGCTGTTGCCTCTCCTAGCTTTGATAACACATCGGAGGCGGTTTCCCATTCAAATTGATTCAAATTGATACCATTATTTAAAAAATCTACCCAGTACTTTTTAAATTTATTAGGTTTGAATGGAAACGCACCAAAAATGAAGTTAATTAAAGTCAATATTGGGCTGAACAAAATAAATATAAAACAGAAAATGTATCTTTAGTACTCAACATTTATGATCTTAATACTTGCTGTTGCCTCTCCTAGCTTTGATAACACATCGGAGGCGGTTTCCCATCGACCTTATAAGTTTTTTGATCATTTCCTGAGGAAGCCTTTCCCATTCCTCTTCCAGCGCTGCCTTCAGCTCTGTGATGTTTGTAGGTGCCGGATTTCTGGCTCGTAACCCCGTTTGAGATCAATCGGATTGACATCAGCACTTAGTGCTGGTCAGTCCATAGTCCGAATGCCTAATTCATGCATGAACTGACGAGCGATTCGTGCTGTATGATACCGGGCATTGTCATGCATTAAAAGGAAGCTCTCCCCGATGAAGCTTTCATAAGGCAAGACATGGTCCAAAAGAATATTTTCCACATATCGTGCAACAGTCACACCGCCTCCTCGGCCTCCACCTTTCTTCGGCCTCGGGACGAAAACGAGCTCCGTTTTACCTTTCAGCGTAATGCCCATATCATACACGAATCACCGCCATAGGACACTCTTTCGCCAAAACAGCACTCCGTAAACCACTGGCCTGGACGCCTGTAGACCAGAACTCTCCTTTCACTGCCGCTCGTCGGTGAGCTTTGGTCAATTTTGGGCCTCTAGCAGGCTGTCTTGGAATGCGGTTCGCTTCTCTCAATCGTCTTCTACGAAACACCGGTGAAATAGCAATTTCGGAGACTCGTCGAAATGATAAAACAGTAAACGGTATCTCCCCTTCTAGAGTAAGAACCAGTCTCTTGGAATCTTTTCTACACCCTTGACACAGCAGATTGGCTCAGGTTTAGTCGACGAGTGACTTATCCCTGCTGCAATAAAGCGACAACTTGGGCGGATACTTCTGATGCTGTATCCATAGTTCTTGCAAATCGGCGTTCGTAAATTGCGTACGTGTGTTACCTGAACGTCTAATAAGTGATTGATAAGTTGTGCACTGCTTGTAGAGAGTAATATAACTACAGCGCATTTTCGATTCTTACATGGATATTACGATATAAAAAAAAGAACTGAACGAATTTAAATGATAGCGGTGTTATTTTAAAGCCCTAAGGCTATCAAAATAATACATATTTTATATACATTACGCCAGTAATTTTCGAAAAAGTTACACTTTGTATATTTTGTAGGGGTGAGTCGATTCAATTGCTAACGAGTGTAGCAGGGGAGCCCCCTTTAAATTTTTATTTATTTTTATAATTTGTTGTTGCGTCAACAGACATGTATACACATTCTGTAAAAATATCATGAGATATAATAGCCCGCTGATAGACTGACAGTCGGACGGGCGGACGGACAGCAGAGGCTTAATAACAAGCTTCCGTTGGTTACCCTTCAGGTACAGAACCCTAAATGTTAGCCAACATAATCTAAATAAAATTCATAAATTCGTTCATTCAATGTGACATATTTTATTGCATTGTAATAAGTAGTTTGATACAGTCTATGCATAGTAACCCTCGTGTCATCAGCAATCGTGGAAACAAGTGATCATCTTCAATCAGTACACAATTTGATTTTTGATGCGGATCTTAGGCTGCTAAAGTTACAGGAACCGCTAACATATATCAAAATCTAATCGCTTATTACATAGCATACAAATAAGATACTTGTTTCGGTATGTTTTATGTCAGATATTTAAATTTTTTTACGTGGGAGAGCCATAGTTGTAGCACGAATGGATCGGCTCGATCAGGGTAGGATCACGCTCTCACAGAATACCAGCGTAAAGTAGCACCTTCACGCTGCTGTGTTTCGTATGGTGAGTGTAGAGAACCGGAGACCCTTTTTTCTGGAATCGAAGTATTCCATCTTACTCCTCAGGGGTGACAACGCATCTGCATTTTGATTCTTAATTGAAGATGTATGTAGATGTCTATGGGCTACAGCATCCACTTACCATCAGATGGACTGTGTGCTCACTTGTCACACAATGCTATAAAAAACCACAACCACTTAAACTGGCTTACTTGGAGTGGTTAAAGGAAGTTTTAGTAAAGTTAGTGGTGTAAGTTTAGTCAACATTTAAAAAAACTCTCCTTATATAAAGCCGCGGTAACTAAGGGGTTAAAATATTTATTGCTTAAGTAATTACAAAATTTCGAAATTCAAATTTTAGATTATCATTTTTCACATCTTTAGTCAACATTTAAATTGAATAGCCAATAGCAACTTTTTTTTATAGAATAAAATTGACAAACGAGCACACAGTCCACCTGATGGTATGTGGATACTGTGGCCATCTATATTTAACCTCGATTAAGAATCAAAATGCAGATGCGTTATCACCCCTGAGTACTAAGATGGAATGCTTCGATTCCAGTAAAATGGGTCTCCGGTTCTCTACACTCACTATATAAGCACAGCAACATTAAGCTGCTATTTTACACTGGTTTTCTGTGAGAGCGTGGTCCTATCTCGGTCGAGCTGACCCCACTACAATCATAATATAACTGCAGCGTGGCTCTACCACGTAAAAACTTCATAGTTATCTACTATATATTTGGTGGGTACTCTGCTAGTTTCCAGAGACGATGCCTTTTTTAATACCACACAGACAACATATGAGTGTTGTTAAAGGTGACAAGGGAAAATGCTAGAATTTTTTTATGCTTCCGATAAATGGCGGTATAAGATGTAAACGAGATGGTTGTACCGTATATCTATCTCGTTTGCGACCAAAACCGGCGACGGGTAGCAACGTTAAAAGTGCGAGATATCTGGTACATGTACCAGAAGATATCGTCAATTCGCCTTACAAGCGTGACGAAAATACTCCCTACAAAGAATAAGACCCGTGTGAGGCAGTGGACCCGATAAAGAAAAACTTGTGACCATGGGTGCTTCAAGGCAATCAAAACATCAGAATTGTAAAATTAGCTCAAATAAATATCGGTAAAATTTGTTTTATACGACATGTAGCAATAGTACTCGAATAAACAGTGTAAATATAACAAAATCAATATGAGATTTGGTTTATAGGGGCTGGCTACCAATTCGAGAGGAAGCAAGAGAAAGAGAGGAAGAAAGAGCAAGAGAGGAAGCTAGAGAAAGAGAGGAAACAAGAAAAGGAGAGGCGGAAAGAGAATCAACGGAACCTCGTAAAGAAATCTCTCAGTCTCCTGTTTTAACAGCGCCTCCTCTACCGCCTTCTCCACCGCCTCCTCCATCGCCTCCTTCATCGCCTCCTTCATCGCCTCCTCCATCGTCTCCTCCATCGCCTACAAAATAGGCAAGATGGCAGATAGTACCTATTATTTATTCTGTGACACGTACTCAATTTATGGCGAAAGAAACTTTTATATTTTTTCAACTAAATCTGTAAGAGTATCAATAACGAAAATAAAGTTACGTATTCTCACGAATCACTGTGATCCATAGTCATTTCACATTCATCTTCCATACGGAATAAATAGACCTCACTAAGGTTAGTGAGGTTAGTGCTTACATCCGTCATCATCCATCACGCCAGTCTTTGTTTCTATTTTACCATTCAACACTGGCAGAAAAGAATTGGCAAGAAATTTTTAGAAGTTAAGAAAAAATATAATATATAGCATACAAAATTCCATAAACCTTAGAAATATAAAAGTTAAAGCAATACTATGCTCTGCTCTATGACGCACGTGAACAAGAAAAGCTCGGCGAGAGATAAACGTTTTGATGATTTATAGCATTTATTGCCAGAAATACTGCACAACGTACTCCTGTAATGCGCCGGGATATGCGCAATCTTGCGTTATTGTTCGAACGCAATAATGAGTTTCACTATTTTGTTTGTTATAACAACATTTATCTTAGTCTTCTTGTATATCAACTAAAGAAAATGTTAAACATTCCCCAATATTGTTATTTATATCTTTTTTGTAAAATGCTTCTTTTTCGAACAGAGAATATAATGATGTGTAAAATAACAGCCAACGCGTACATGCACCCTCACGCACGCACGCACGCACGCACGCAAGCACGCACGCACGCACGCACGCACGCACGCACGCACGCACGCACGCACGCACGCACGCACGCACGCACGCACGCACGCACGCACGCACGCACGCACGCACGCACGCACGCACGCACGCACGCACGCACGCACGCACGCACGCACGCACTGCATGCACGCACGCACGCACGCATGCACGCACGCACGCACGCATACGAACGCACGCACGCACGCACGCACGCACGTGAGGCGAGAGAAGTGTGTCAGCATCGTGCCAAATGGATGTCTGTAGTCTCTGCCTACCCCTCTGGGTGACAGGCGTGATGTTTATGTATTATTTTTATTTGAAAAAAGTGCTTATGTATATAATATGTATAATTTAACTAAAAATTAAGTTTAGATTGTGTTTTAAACGCACCCACGAACGCACGCACGCACTCACGGACGTGAGGTGAGAGAAGTGTGTCAGCATCATGCCAAATGGATGTCTGTAGTCTCTGCCTACCCCTCTGGGTGACAGGCGTGATGTTTATGTATTTTTTTATTTGAAAAAAGTGCTTATGTATATAATATGTATAATTTAACTAAAAATTAAGGTTAGATTGTGTTTTAAACGTAAAAAATTAAAAAAGGAATAGCATAAATCTACAGAGCCCATGAAGAAAATTTCGTGTTAGACTTAACCAAGAGTCTAACTTTTCTTTCTCTAAACGTAAAATACTTCCATGCACAATAGCTATAACTAAGAAATGGGTGTATTTCGTTTCTCGATCAATAAAACAAGTTTCAAAAGCGACTATGACATAGATAGAAAATAAACAACAGTGAAGTCACAAATAAACGCAATGATCGAATAAAATCGATTGTACTTTTGTGTCCCGAGAACACGTTCTATTATTTGTGGTTGTGGCGAACAATGCGATAGTATTTGACCGTGACTAATACGAACATAACAAAATCAATGGAACGGTTCAGTTACACGTAATGAGCACGTAAATGCTTGTTCACAAAGCTGGACTTTGAAACTCACAACATAATATAATACAAGAGTTCATGGTTACTTAAAAAGAAGAGGTAAAAGAAGGCCAAATTGGCCTCTAAAAAGCTTGGCGTGCTCAGCAGAGCGGGACAGTATTTCATGCCTGATCACCGCCTGCAACTTTACAAGGCGCAGGTTCGGCCGCAAGTGGAATAATGTTCCCTTCTCTGGGCCGGGGCTCCCCAGTGCCAGCTCCTTCCATTTGATCGCATCCAGCGCAGAGCTGTTCCAATCGTCAGCGACCGAGCTCTTTCCGATTAGCTTGACTCACTGGCACTGCGAAGAGATGTTGCATCTCTTTGCGCATTTTATCGCATCTACCACGGGGAGTGCTCTGAGGTATTGTTCGGACTAATTCCAGCAGCACAATTTCACCATCACATATCGCGACGAAACTCGCGATACCATTCATACCATCTGGATAACTGGAGGTCCACCACCGTGCGATTTAAAAGAAGTTTTCTGCCTCGCACAACTTCCGTGTGGTATCGACTACCACCAGAGATTTTTCCGGACTGATATAACTTAGGGACCTTCAAGAAAAGAGCTTACTCCTTTCTAAAAGGCCGGCAACGCACCTGCAATTCCCCTGGTGTTGCAGTTGTTCATGGGCGGTGGTAGTCACCATCAGGTAAGCCGCATGCTAGTTACTAGGCTGCACTAAAAGTATCGGGAATGGAATATTTCCACTGTTCCTGTCATGTTGAAATCTTTTTAATTGAAAACTCCTTGGTTTTAAAAATCGAATACCATTTATTTATTCAAAAAAAAGATTCTCGGTCTTGTCACAAGGTTTTGTCAAACTTGTTTGGTCGTTGAGAAAAATGGAATTGACTCGAGAAAACTCAAGAGCGATGATTTATTATGACTTTCGAAGTAGTTTAACACAAAAACAGTGTGTTGACCGGATGATTTCTGCATTTGGTGATGAAGCCCCATCCAAAACCACAATTTATCGCTGGTTTGCTGAATTTCAAAGTGGACGTGTAAAGCTCAGTGATGATCCCCGTCAAGGTCGCCCAAAACCTGCGGTCACCCAAGAAAAGGTTGATGCTGTGCGTAAGCTGATTGAGGAAGATCGACACTTGACATACCGCGAAATTCAGGCAACTTTAGACATTGGCATGAGTCAAATACAAATAATCTTGCATGAACAATTAGGTGTAAAAAAGTTGTTTTCCCGATGGATACCGCATTCGCTCTGTGAAGAGCAAAAAGCGGCTCGCGTTACTTGGTGCGCCAGAACTCTCGAAAGATTCCACGCAGGACCCTCAAATGCTGTATACAACATCGTATCAGGTGACGAATCCAGGATATACGCGTACGAACCCGAAACAAAAAACCGGTCACGAGTTCGGGTGTTCGAAAATGAGTTAAAGCCAACAAAAATTGTTCGTTCACGGAGTGTTGCAAAAAAATGGTGGCCACGTTTGTCTCCAAAACCGGCCATGTTACGACTATTCCTCTTGAGGGACAAAGAACGGTTAATGTAGAATGGTATGCTAGCATTTGTTTGCCAGAGGTCGTTTCTGAACTCCGTAAAGAGAACTGCAACCGCCGCATCATCCTCCATCACGACAATGCGAGTTCTCACACCGCACACAGAAGAAAAGAGTTTTTAGAGCAAGAAAACATAGAATTATTAGACCAACCGCCGTACAGCCCCGACCTAAGCCCTAATGATTTCTAGACTTTCCCTGAAAAAAAAATGAATAAATTGTGTGGACAGAGATTTTCATCACCTGAAGAAGCTGTGGACGCCTACAAAACAGCTATTTTGGAGACCCCAAATTCCGAATGGAATGGTTGCTTCAATGATTGGTTCCATCGTACGGAAAAATGTGTCAAATTTCGCGGAGAATACTTCGAAAAGCAATAAATACATTTTTAAATAGTAATGTTGTGTCACTTCCTTGATTCCCGAAATTTTCAGTGCCGCCCTCGTACCCCCCTCTTCTATAAAAAAAGTTAGCCATTGATTGCCTGATATTTTCCAAAGTTATTAAGGACGGGTTGGCAACGTATTTTATTTTATAGATGTTGTTAGAAAGACGCTGCGGCCCATCTCCAGGTTTGTTCCCCTTTTTTGCCTTAGACATTTTTACACCAATATTTCGCGGTGAATTTCAATGGTCGTATGATTTATTTTTGTATTGATTAACGTAGACGGCTTAACTTGAAACCTATGAGTGGTGATGATAGTTTATGTTCTCCGAAAATCCCGTATCACAGATGAAACATAAATCCGTGCCTATTCTACTCGTATAAGCCATTAAAGCGCAAGGCTTTCGTACATAACTTAAGTTTCTAACTAGAAAACCTAGTATTATCGAAATAAATTGTCGTGTTACTATCACGAGATAACCGACTTTAATGTGAGCGTACTCATTTCAGTCAGGTTATCCTCTGAGTCGACGATATTGAATATTTGCATGGACGATTCGAGACCGTCTTAGAATGTTCCTCGAAGGGATATCGTTTGCGCGTTTCCACTGCCGTTAGCGACAACGTATAATCTATAGCCTATAATCCCAATTCCGTGCCGTGCTGTGGGTGACGTGAGAGGACTTTTTTATAGAATAAGGCTGACAAACGAGCACCCAGTTCACCTGATGGTAAGTGGATGCTGTGGCCTATTGACATCTACATTTATCTTCGATTAAGAATTAAAATGAAGGTGCGATGTCACCCCGGAGGACTAGGATAAAATGCCTCGTTTCTGGTAAAAAGGATCTCCTGTTCTCTTCACTCACCATGCGAAACATAACAGCATTGAGCTGCTATGTATTCTGTGAGAGCGTGGTCCTATCCCGGTTGAGCCGACACATTCGTGCTACAGCCATAATATAGCTACAGCTTGGCTCTACCACGTATGAAATATGATTAAAGGAGATACCTGCAACGGGAAAGTTTCAAGTTCATCAGAGATTGTTGGTAGACACAAGCGCCGAAAGCGAGAAGAGCAACAACACAAGCATGCGCAGAAAATAATAATTGTACTTAATAAAATATTAAATACAAGTATTTTTCATTTATTATAATTAACCTGGCACAATGTTAGCAGCAATAACCAAAGGGAGCTGTGGTAGCTCAGATGGTTAGCACTCGCTGTAAATTTCACAGTACCTACGCGAGCAACCCGGGTTCGATCCTCGCCGGCTCCAATGAAATTGTTAATTTCAACTTTAAGTGCTTATTTACCACGTGCTGAACGCTGAATGAAAATATCATGAGGAAACGAGAAATAAGA